TCTTGCTTTGCTCAGGCTGGTCTCAAACTCCTGAGCTCAGGCAATCCATCCACTTCAGCCTTTCAGAGTGCTGGGATTATAGGCATGAGCCATCAGGCCAGCTCTTTCTTTCATTTCTGATGTTGGTAGTTTGTGTTTCTGTTTTTCTTATTTAGCCTGGTTGGAGGTTTATCAATTTTATTTATCTTTTCAAACAAATAGTTGTTGGTTTTGATTTTATTTTTTTGTATTACTTTCCTGTTTTCAGGATTATTGATTTCTGTTGTATTTTTCATTTCCTTTCATTTGCTCTTTTAGTTTTGTAAGGTTTCTAAGGAATCTGACATTATAGATGTTAGATATTTTTTAATGGGTATTTATTTAATGCTGAGCATAAATATTGAAGAGGACACTGTCACTGAAGTAATAGAAAACTTTACTCATGTCATCTCTATATCATGTCTTTCTAGGACCATGTCCCTTGAACTGACTTCTGATAGGAACAGTGCCTTGTTGCCAATGAGTTCAGCATCAGAGTCCATGAAAAAAGAATGATAAGCTATTATTTTGGTGATCACATGCCTCTGGTCTTCCAGCTTTTGTTTGGTGCTAGCATGCTATATCTTTTATCATCCTTTTAACCATTCTAAGCCTCTCTATTTAGAGTGCATTTCTTATATATAATATATAGTTGGATCTTGTTTTTTTAATCCACCATGATAATTTCTGCCTTTTAGTTGGTGTTTTTCAACTCTTCACATTTAAAATGATTATTGATATAGTTGAATTAAGATGTATCTGTATCTGCTTTCTGTTTTTACTCTTTGTTTTCTTTCTTTTTCTGTTTCCTGATATTGATTGAGTTTTACATAATTTCATTTAGCCCTTCTCATAGTGTGTCAATTGTATTTTTTAAAAATATCAGATCTCTAAGATGAACCATCTTATAAGGGTACATGTGAATCTTTCTAAATGTAGAATATAAATGTCTTTTTTTCTTTTTTTTTTTTTGAGACAGAGCCTCAAGCTGAGCCCCTGGGTAGAGTGCCCTGGCTTCACTGCTCACAGCAACCTCCAACTTCTGGGCTCAAGCGAGTCTCCTGCCTCAGCCTCCCAAGTAGCTGGGATTACAGGCGCCCCCAACAACGCCCTGCTATTTTTTGGTTGCAGCCATTATTGTTGTTTGGCGGGCCTAGGCTAGATTCGAATCCGCCACCTTAGGTGTATGTGGCTGGCGCCTTAGCCACTTGAGGCACAGGAGCCGAGCCAGAATATAAATGTCTTAACACAGTAATTAAGAAAATGACATGAAGGCTATGTTAACCAGTTTGATGAAAATATTTCAAATTGTATATAAAAACAGCACATTGTACCCCATGACTGTATCAATGTACCCAGCTATGATTTAATAAAAAAAAAAAAAGAAAGAAAATAGCCATTCTTGGGATACTCCACTGAGAAGACTGGTCTCCAATTCCATCTAGGTTGTTGCAAAAGTTACATAATCTCCGTCTTTTTACAACTAAATAATGTTTGATTGTATATATGTATCACAATTTGTTAATCCACTTCTGTGTTGAAGGGCACTTAGGTTGTTTCCCCATCTTTGCAATTGTGAATTATGCTGCTATAAACATTTATATGCAATGTCTTTATGGTAGAATGCATTGTAAATACCTAGTAATGGGACTGTAGATTCAAATAGTAGATCTACTTTTAGCTCTTTGAGGAATCTTCATTTTGCCTTCCATAGAGGCCATAGTCCTACCAACAGTGTGGAAGAGTTACTTTCTCTCTGAATCCCCACCAGTATTTTTTGTTTTGGGACTTTCATGATGTAAGCCATTCTTTCTGGGGTTAGGTGATATCTCAGTGTGGTTTTGATTTGTATTTCTCTGATGATTAGAGACAATGAGCATTTTTTTCATGTGTCTATAAAAATGTATAGATAGGGATTGTTTTAGAATTTACAACATACATTTTTAACTAATTTAAGTCTATTTCCAAATAGCATTATACTATTATGCACAAAACCATGTATGTGTAGTGTGTGTAGTATGTATGTAAGTACCTTATAATAGGGTATTTCCATTCCTCCTCCTTTTTCTTTTTTCATTGCTGCCATTCATTTCCTTTATCCACATGCTATAATCATCCAGTACATTGTTACTCTTCCTTTTACTACATAGTACAAGTTTTTGACCTATATAATTTTCCTTCAGTCTAAAGAACCACTTTTAACCTTTCTTTTAGGACAGGTTTGCTGGCAGTGAATTTCCTTGATTTTTGCTTGTCTTAGAACTTGCTGTAATTAAGGAGCTATAGTGAGAAAGTGGCAGGGGCAAGGAAGGGTTTATTGGGCCTCTTGGGTCCTGGGAGTAGTTTGGATTTCATTTGAATTGTGGTGAAGAGGTTTTTAGTGTGGAGTTTTAATGTAATTTATTTTACAAAAAATTTCTTTTTTCTTTTTTCTTAATTGAATGGTAACTATGTACATTGATGCACTTCTGGGGTACAGTGTGGGGTTTTCACACACAATCCAAAACACTTCCATCAAACTGGTTAACATAGCCTTTGTGTCAAAAAATTTCTTTGGCAGCTTTGTGAAGTGGCAACATAGATTGAGGGAGAGGAGACGAGGTTAGAAGGATTCTATAGTAGATAAGAGCATTGCTAAGACTAGGATGGTAGAAGTAGACAATATGGAAAATGGGTAGATCTGGGGTTTATTTTGGAAATGATGCTGACATGACTTACTCATGTGAGGAGTAAAGAAGTAAAGGAGTAGGGATGAATCAAGGATGATATATGTATAAGTAGAAGGTAGTGTTACTGAAATGAGAAATCTAGACTAGAAACAAGTTTTGAGGAAACATTAGGAATTCCATTTTGTTCACATTTTGGTCATATACTTATAAGACTTCCACATGGAAATACCAAGTAGAGATTTGGATTCCAAGTCAGGATTTTAGAGGAGACATTTGATTTGGGTTATAAATTTGGGAGACTGTCAGCCTATAGATGGTATTTAAACCTATGAAAATGAGAGTTATTACTTAGAATATGTGACAAGTGAAAAAGGGCTTAGAACTTGAACTCAGGGGATTTCCAGACATTTAGGAGTCAGGTGGAGGAGCAGCAACTTGGAGAAGTATTGATCACGGAAAGACGTATGGTATATGTGGTATCTTAACAGTCAAGGATCTATGGGGTATCTAAGAGTAAAGACATGACTTCATAACGCACTGCATTTTCAGAAAAGTTCTTCAAAAAGTGAGAAAAATAGAGGACAGAATAATGTGCTTGACGTGTTTTTTAAAAAGGATAACAACAAAAATAAATTATGGCTAGTTAATTGCACTAGCCTAGGAGTATAATTATTCTTTCTTTTGATAGTCTTAGAAATTTTGATTTTTTTAAAAAGAAAACTGGAAATTATTGTTTTAAAAAAATGGAACTGGAAGCTGGAAGTAAAAAAAATTTTTTTTAAATTGTCAAGAATAAGGGTGTTAGCATCACCTAATGGCAAAATGGAATATTGCAGCCATATTTATCTGCAACCTAATTTGAAGGAGAACTACATTTCTAGAGGTATTTTATATTATTTTATTTATTTTATTTTATTTTGAGACAGATTATGTTGCCCTTGGTAGAGTGCTGTGGCGTCACAGCTCACAGCAACCTCAAACTCTTAGGTTTAAGTGATTCTCTTCCCTTTGCCTCCCAAGTAGCTGGGACTACAGGCACCCGCCACAATGCCGATTTTTTTGTTGTAGTTGTCGTTGTTTAGCAGGCCCAGGCCAGGTTCAAACCCGCCAGCCCCAGTGTATGTGGTTGGCACCCTAGCCACTGAGCTACAGGCTCTGAGCCTCTGGGGGTATTTTAGGTGTGGATCAGTAGACTACTGTGGTTTACTGGGTTCTGTGTTCTTTGACCCTAGCCTTTGGAGGCCCTTCTATCATGTTACCCATCTGGTCACTGACCAGATTATATAGGTTATAGTTCTTTTCTGTGTTTCAGGTTTGAGCTCAAATAGTTTGCTCTTAAGAATTATTTCCTGCCACCTTATTGAAAGTTGTCCTTACATTCCCTACAGTTACTCTTTGTCAGATTATCCTGTTTATTTTCACCATACCCTTTAGAGTGATTTAGAATCAACTTACTTGCGAACTTTCTTGTTTGCTTGTTTTCTTACTAATATGTAAGCTCTGGGTGAGCAGCAGCAGGCTGGGTGAGCATATCTTCAGTTAAAATTAGTTGTGAGAATACTTGAACTTCTGACAATGATAGAGAGTATTAATTGTAAAAAAAAAGGATTATTTGTGTGATGTAAAGTATTTATCTAGACAACAGAATTATACTGTATTTAATTATTGAAACATTGTTTGCTACATGAATGTAATGTGAAAGAATTTTTTATACATTGTTTCCTACACAAATGCAATGTGACTTTTTTTTTTTTTTTTGCTAAGTGGTAATGTGTCTGGAAAAAAAAGATACATGTTTTAGGATATTGAATTCTATATTAGCTAATTTCTGTGATCCAGAAAAAAATATTTTAAGGTATAATATGTGGTCTTGAGAAGATAAATTTTTTGGAATCATTGGATTTAATTAATAATGTCAGTAAATGTGCTTTTGTTTGTGTATGTCCATGTGTGGACATTTCTAGTATCATTGTTTCCTCTATTAAAATGAACAAAAATAGTATTTCTAGAAGATATGAGAGTGGGAGTCAAATAAACAGTCGTAAATATGTTTAGCTGAGATACAGCTGGTTAGTGTTGTATTTCAGAGAACTGAGTTGTTCTTTTACTCTGGAAATGCAGGGTGAAGAGAGAGTACATTTCCATTATATGTCCCAGTCCAAGAAGGTAGCCTCCTTAAATTTGAGATAATTATCTAGCCAGCAGGATTCTTCTTTGCATGAGTCATGTTTAAAGCTTCATTAGTTCATGTTTTTTAATTAGTGCATGTTTTTAATCAATGTATATTTTCAAAAATTCCTGTGGTTTTGCCAGGTGGATGTGCGAAGAGAAGTTTGCAGAACTGAAATGGAGGTCACAGCTTCTTTACAGAAGGTTAGTGGGCCATCTGATTCTGTGGGTACACTGAACAGTGAAGAATTTGTTTTGGTTCCTCAGCATGCAGCTGATACTTCTACAAAAGATGAAGAAAAACCTCACCTGAAGGTATTTTTTACTTTTCTACATATGGCACTATTTTTAATTATTGTTTTTAAAACCATTTGAAATTTATCTTAAGAAATGAGTAAAATCCAGTGGGTTTTCCCAAGTATTGACTTTGAGAATAAAATCAGTGTTTGATTTATCCAGAGCTTAGTTATTTTGTTTGTACATTTTTAAAGTTTTTTGCTTTACACTTCTATGCTTTTGGTTATTTACCTTTTAATTTGAAATTTTAAGAGGAAGGAAAAGAAGAGACAAAAGAAGATAAAGGATAATTGTTTGGCAAATTAGATTTACCAGTTAAATCTGACATTAATGTATCTGGATGTTTTTCTCTTACTGCTAGCTTTTAGTAGCTAAGTATATGAACTTTAGAAATTAATTATTTGAAGTTAATTTGCTTCACATCAGGGACTTTTTAAATTTATGGTGATTATGTTTTAAATCAGCTGGTAATATTCTGGTATATGATTTAAAAATTGACTTCTCTGAATATTTTTTAAGAATATGTCTTATATTTTTCACAGTAGTGTTTTTATTTGGATATGACCCTCATTTTTGTGTAGCCTTTCCTAAATCAGAAAAGAGGAAGCCAGCAAACCCAGATATATATATATATATATATATACACACACATATATATATATATATATATACACACATATATATATATATATGCATGAGAGCTATATAACTATCCTGTAGAAATAGTAATGGAAAAATTAGTCAAAAGTGCTATATTTTATTTGTAACTTTTATTTAGCTTTAACTGTGGCATCAAGTTTGTATTACTTTATCAATGTATAAAATGTACTGTAAAATAAAAAAATTATTAAATACCTATTTTATATTGTGTTGAGAATATATTGTTTTATATTATTTAGATTACTATTGACTTTAATTTTAGGTATTAGTATTTTTAATAATGGTTTTTTTTTTTTTTTTTTTAGTTTTGCTATACGTTTATTTTTAAAGAAAAAGAAAACAAAAGCCAGACAAACCCAAATTGTCCAGGCAAATATTCAAATCTTTGTAATAATGTTGTTGTTAAAGATTACACTTATTTACTTTGGTTTTGTGTCACTAATACTTTTAAGAAGATAAATCAACTTTAAGGAAATTAATAATAGCTCTGTTGGCACTTAGTGGTTTGTAAAGAAATCCAAATCATGTTTATTTTATTATGATAACAAGAAATACGACCTTTTAAATGATATTCACAGTAGACCCTGTCCATTTACTTACCTTTTTTTTCCCCATTTAAAACACATAATTAAGGTTATCTGATTTTTAGGATGTATTCCTAAAAAATAAAAATAAGGAAATCTCTGCAAGTAGGAAATTCTATCAAATATAGTTGAAAACTGCCAGAAAGGTTTTATGAAGAATGTTTTTGTGAAACTAATAGTCCTCCTCTAAGTTTGTTTGCTTTATAATTTAGGATTTTAGTGTATTATATCTGTGTGAAATTAGTTATAATTGTACAAATTCCTAGTATTTAATAATTATATTTGAAGATTTACTGTTTTAATTTTTTTTTAGAAATGAAATATTTTCATAAAATTGAGCTTCAGAGCCATAATAAGATTGAAACAGAATTGTCTTGTTCTATCTATAGATAGTTTCTAATGGTGATGAACAATTGGAAAAAGCCATGGAAGAGATATTGAGAGATTCTGAGAAAGGGCAAAGTGGTCTTCTTGTTGACTGTCACAGTTCCAGTGAGATTTCAGAACATTCATTTGGAGATACTACAGCTAGCCAAACAAATAAGCCATCTCTCCATCTAATTTTGGATCCCTCTAATACAGGTACTGTAGTAAACTTTTAGTAACTGTAAGAGAAATGGGATAAAGCAATAATGAAAATTCGAAGATGAAAATTAGAAAATCCTTTTTGGGGTTTCACTTTTGTTTCAGAGTTCCCATTGTGGTTCTTACTTGTCTGCCTATATCTATCTCATGATCAGTGAGGGACATGGACTGTGTCTAGGTTCTCATTTTACCCCAGTACTTGACGTATGATTAATCCTCAATAGATGTAGAGTCCTGATGACTGGCTCAACCATAGCCTCATTTGCTAATTGCTCCTCAAGGGGATCATAAGAAAGTGGATAAAGGAGATGGTGTCACCAGACTACTGGGGGATAACATGAACCACAAACCTGTGTGCAGGCCTGGCTCATAGCATTAAATGATGTCATCTGTATAGTTTCATAGAATGAATGGCGTAAAGTATGTATGTAATAAAATATTCATCATCATCATCAATCATCAGTACTTGGAAACCTTGAACCCCAAAATAAAGTAACATAAAATTTTAAGTCCAAGACCAATAATTATGATTTAACTGCTTAAAATGGGTGTCAGCTGGGTATAGGTCCTTAATCTATGTTGAAGTATCTTGGTGGAACCTCTGGATTTCTATTGAACAACGCTCCTTGAAAAGCATTTGGATTCTTTTGATTAAGTAGCTGAGGCCCAGATTCATACAAATTTTGTCAGAAATGGGATTAGAATCATTTCTCTGCAACATTACAGAATGAGTTCATTACATATATGAAGAAAAACTTAGCATATTAGAAATAGCTCAACTTTACCCTTCTTTTGGAAAACATATGTTCTTGCATTAAAGCTATAAAAAATTAGTTTAATACATTCTCTGTTTCTAATATTGTTTAAAATCTATTTCACAAATTTATTAAGATAGTCAATGCTTTGGTTTGGCTTTTTTAGTCAATATAATTATTTTCAGACCTATCCATGTTGATGCATATATCAAGTTTCTTTATTTTTAACATTTTTGTTTTTATTTTTATTTCAAATTAATATGAGGGTACAAATTTTTAGATGACATTGTTCTCACTTATAAGGTAAAGTTCCAGTTGTAAAAGAAAAACCCTCACTCAGGGGGTGTGCTATCCACCTTCGCTTTGTGCTAGGTGTGGTGGCTGACATCTGTAATCCTAGTACTCTGGGAGGCCAAGGCAGGTAGATTCCTTGAGCTCAAGAGTTTGAGACCACACTGAGCAAGAGCAGGACCCTGCCTCTACTAAAAATAGAAAAACAAGCTGGATGTTGTGGTTGGCATGACTGAGGTAAGAGGATCACTGGAGTCTCAAGAGTATGAGGTTGCTGTGAACTATGTTACCATAGCATTCTAGCCTGGGGCAACAGTGTGAGTCTGTCTCAAAAAACAAATAAACAACAACAACAAAACAGTGTAATGTAGGTTCTTCTGAGTTGTCTGTTTTTGTTTATTTTTTAAAAAGAGTCCTCAGGTAGTCCTCACGTACCCTTCATATTGTCTCCAGAGCTTTTAGTTCTAATATATGACAGAGATCAACTATAATAGATTTATTATTTTGGTTTGCCTGGTTAGTTCTGTTAGTTTTTGCTTTAGGTATTTTGAAAGTTCTAGTATTAAGGGAATGACATTTATTATGTTTTCTTAATGATACATAATGAATTAACCATTTTATCATTGTTAAGTGTCCCTTTCCACTAAAGTCTAGTTTTTCTGATGTTAATATAGCCAATTTAGTTTTCTTATGATGAGTGTTTGCATGGTGTATCTTTTCCTGTTTTTTTTTTTTTAACTTTTAACCTGTTTGTCTCTATATATTATATTTAAAGTGTGTTTCTTACAAAATGCTTTTTAAGGTCCAGTTGACAATCTTTTATTTTGATTGGATTTAGACCGGGGTAGCAAACTACTGTCAACCCTAATAAATGATTGAGGCAAAAATCTCCATTAATGGGGGTTTATTAAGCTAAGATTTAGAGGACATACTGGGGAAAAACATGAACCACACAAATACTGTGGTTTTTTCGGAAGGGGAGGTTGAAACTTCAGCGTTTTAAAGGCATGCAGAGAGAAGGATGAAGGAGGGTGGATGAGGTGGTGAGTACTTTCTTATGAGCCTCAAGAAATCTTCGTTTCCTCAGGTAGGTGGAAGAATGTCTGATTGTGTCTTGTCTCCAGTTCTGTTGCCTGTAGCATAAACTTGTAAATCATTATTAGTATAGAACTGGAACTGTTTTAGTTTTAGGTGCTAGACATAGGTACAATCTGTATGTGTTTGCTTATGGGGGAGTAGCAAGAAATTTCCTTAATGAGTGATCTGTGAGGGCTAGTTCCTCACATGCTGCTCAGGCTGTGATTTTTTTTTTACCCTACTATCTGTGGGCCAGATCCTACCACCTCCTTGTTTTTGGTATGGTTTTTAAGGTAATAATGGCATTTATGTTTTTAAATGGTTGAAAACGTGTCAAAAGGAGACTAATATTTTGTGACACATGAAGATTACATAAAATTCAAATTTCAGTGTCTATGAATTAAGTTTTGAGTATTGTCAAAAAAACAAAAACCGTGGTAGGTTGTTTTCTCTCTGATTATAAATACACCTGAATAATATGTTAGATTTTGTCTTTTGACCCATTTAACTCAAAATATTATCATATGGCCCTTTAAGCATATTCTTTTTTTTTTTTTTTAGAGACAGAGCCTCACTTTATGCCCATGGTAGAGTGCTGTGGTGTCACAGATCACAGCAACCTCCAACTCTGGGGCTTAGGGTGGCCATATGGCCCTTTATGGAAAAAGCTGATGACCCCTCTTATTGACTATTTATTGTTAATATAATTTTTAAATATTTGAATCTAAGTGTAGCTACCCTTTTCCTGTTTGTTTCCTGTATTGCTCCTGTCTCCCCCCCACCCCCCCACTTTTTATTCTTTTAGATTGAGCATTTTTTTTTGGCTGGGGCTGGGTTTGAACCTGCCACCTCAGCATACAGGGCTGGTGCCCTACTCCTTTGAGCCACAGGCACCGCCCCAGATCAAGCGTTTTTTAATGTTCCATTTTATCTCCATTATTGACATATTAGCTATGTAATTTTGTTTTATTATTATTATTGTGGTTGCCTTTGGAGTTTATACTATGGGTCACTAAGAAAGTATTGAGAGAGACTGTGTTATGGTCTATTATTACACTTCCAAGTAACATATCTTTTCTTTGGCATATCTTTTCTGATTTACCCATGTAGGTTTCAACTAGATCAGCTTGTTGATGTTGCTGGGAGGGCTTCATTTGTTTTTGTCTACTTGAATTTTACGTTTCTTGATTTTTATCTATCTCAAAACTTCTGTAATGACCCATGTAACCCAAATCTTTAACACATATGCATTCTAGTAATATTGTAACACTTTATGTATGTAGTAAGAATCTTCTGTTTCTTTGTGGACTTTATGCTTCTGCTGTCATTCATTTTGTTTATATGTTACCAATTCTACAAATTTTAATTAAATAGTCTATTATTTTTTAACTTAATTTTATTAAATTGTAACTGAATACATTAATGGGGTACAGTGTGATGATTTGGTATATAATGTGAGATGCTTAAATCAAACTAATTAATATAACCATCACCTCACTTATTTTTGTGGTACATTTATAATATACTCTTAGTTGTTTTGAAATGTACCTTTGCATTGTGTACATTTGGTGAGATCCTACCAAATACCCTCCCTCCATTCTCCTGCTCCCTTCCCCTCTCCCTTCTCTCACCTCTTTCTTTCTGGACTATCTTTGTATTTCATCATTTGTGTGAAAGTGTAAGTGTTTATATATTGGTTTCATAATAGTATTGAGTAAATTGGATACTTTTTCCCATTCTTGAGGTACTTTACTAAGAAGAATATGTTCCAGTTCTATTCAGGTAAACATAAAAGATGTAAAGTCTCCATCTTTTTATGGCTGCATAGTATTCCATGGTATACATATACCACAATTTGTTTATCCATTCATGGGTTGATGGGCATTTGGGCTGCTTCCATGATGTGGCTATTGTGAATTGGGCTGCAATAAACCTTCTGGTGTAAATGTCTTTGTTGTAAAATGATTTTTGTTCATCTGGGTAGATACCTAGTAATGATATTGCAGGATCAAACAGTAGGTCAACTTCTAGTTTCTTGAATATTCTCCAAACTTCTTTCCAAAAGGGCCTTATTAGTTTGCACTCCCACCAGCAGTGTAGAAGTGTTCCCTTCTCTCTGCATCCCTGCCAACATCTTAGTTTTGGGATTTTGTGATGTGGGTTAATCTTACTGGAGTTAGATGATATCTCAAAGTGGTTTTGATTTGCATTTCTCTGATGATTAAAGATGATGAGCATTTTTTCATGTGTTTGTAGGCCATGTGCCTGTCATCTTCAGAGAATTTTACATTCAAGCCTCATGCCCACAAAGAAATGGGATTATTTGTTCTTTTCTTATTGATTAGTTTGAGTTCTCTGTGGATTCTAGTTATCAGACCTTTGTTAGAAACATAACCTACAGAAATCTTCTTCCATTCTGAAGGCTGTCTGCCTGCTTTACTTACAGTGCCCTTAGCTCTGCAGAAGCTTTCTAGCTTGATCAGATCCCAGTAATATAGTTTTGGTGTTGCTTCAATTGCCAGCATGGTCTTCCTCATAAAATATTTTCTCAGACTAGTATCTTCAAGCATTTCCCCTGCATTCTCTTCTAGTATTTTTATAGTTTCATGTCTTAAGTTTAAATCTTTTATCCAGTGAGAATCAATTTTCATCAGTGGTGAAAGGTGTAGGTCCAGTTTCAGTCTTCTACGGATCACTAGCCAGTTCACCCAGCACCATTTGTTAAATGGGGAATCTGTTCCGTAATGTATGTTTTTGTTAGGTTTATCAAAGATTAAATGATGATATGTACTTGGGTTCATCTCTAGTTTGTCAGTTCTGTTCCATATATCTATATCTCTGTTTTTGTGCCAGTACCATGCTGTTTTTATTGCTATAGATTTATAGTATAATCTGAAGTCTGATAACGTGATGTCTCCTGATTTGTTTTTATTCCTAAGTAATGGCTATTTGAGGTTTTCTCTGATTCCATATAAAATGAAGTGCTACTTTTTCAAGTTCTTTAAAGCATGACATTGGTGTTTTGATAGGGATTGCACTGAATCTGTAGATCACTTTGAGTAATATGGACATTTTAATAATGTTGATTCTTCCCAGCCACAAACATGGTGTGTTTTTCCATTTGTTAACATTTTCAAGTATTTATTTTCTCAGGGTCCCATCATTCTCATTATAGAGATCATTCACTTCCTTTGTTAGATAAATTCCCAGATATTTCATCTTCTTTGGCACTACTGTAAAAGGGATAGAGTCCTTGACTATGTTTTCAACTTAACTATTGTTGGCATATATAAAAGCTATTGATTTGTAAGTATTGATTTTGTATCTAGAGATGCTGCTGTATTACTTGATCACTTCTAAGAGCTTTGTAGTTGAGTCCCTGGGGTTTTCCATCATGTTATCTGCAAAGAATAAGAGTTTGATCTCCTCTGACTCCATTTGAATACCCTTGATCCCCTCTCTTGCCTTACTGCGATGGCTAGGACTTCCATTACTATGTTGAATAGCAGTGACAACAATGTCTAGTTTTGGATCTAAGTGGAAATGTTATCAGTTTTACTCCATTCAGTATGATATTGGTTGTGGGTTTGCTATGGATAGCCTCTATCAGTTTAAGAAATGTCTCATCTTGGCCTGTTTTCTTAAGTGTTCTAATCATGAAAGGATGCTGGATATTAACAACAACTTTTGTTACATCAATTGATAGAATCATATGGTCTTTGTTTTTTATTTTATTTATGTGATGTATTTATAGATTTACGTATTTTGAACCCATCTTGTAAACCTGGGATAAAACCAAGTCTGTTATATTTTTTAGAAATTTAAACACATGGAAAAAGTCTTTTCCACATATGTAAAACTTTTGATGCTCTTCAGTTCCCTCTAATGTAATTTTTTCTTTTAGTCTAAGGAACTTCTTTTAACATTCTTTTTCTGCAGTTTAGAATCTGCTCTATCAGATACATATATCCATCTGGGGAATATTTCACTTCAGACTTGTGTTTTTTAACTCTATAATTTCTTTTAGTTTTTTGTGTCTTTCATTTTTCTTTTGTTAGATTTTTTTCTTTAAAATCTAGATCATTTGTAACAATTATTGTAAAGGTCTTGTCTGCCAATTTTATCATTTGTCATTTATGTACTGTTTCCTATTTTGGGTCTATAGACTAAGGAATATTGGGTTACACAGATTTATAAAATATTTGTTTCCTCAACAGCTTTTTTTCCCCCTTTGCTTCCATTTTTCTCTTTATTAGTGAAAAGTATAAATGGTGGTGGTGCCTGGAGATGAGGAGGGGCCTGCATAGGAGATGTTCAGGCCAGGTTTATTGAAAGGGGAGGGTGACCTCTGGGCAGTGCAAAGGTGGTGTGTGGTGGGGGGTTAGTGAGAGACCCCTTTTATATGGAGCCATGGGGGATGGGCACATTCCACAGGTTGCTTGTCAGGTTAGGGCAGGGGTCCTCAAACTTTTTAAACAGGGGGTCAATTCACTGTCTCTCAGACTGTTGGAGGGCCGGACTGTGGGCCCTGGGATGAGTTGGCTGCTAAGCAGGACAGGCAGTGGCAGCAAAAACACCTAGAGGGCCGGATAAATGCCCTCTGAAGGCTGCCCATGGGCCATAGTTTGAGGACACCTGGGTTAGGGTCTTTTAGCACAGACTTCTGGTGGGGGGACTAGCTAGATTCTTTGTGTCTTTGTCTTAGGAAGAAAGAAGGAGGAAGGAAAAAGTGTTTATGTGTGGCTGTGTTAGGCCCCCCCGATAGTTAGGATTCCAGTTACCACTTGAATTGCTTAATCTACCCATGCTAGTCAGTCACTGAGGCATGGGTTTACCAGAGGACCTTGAAAATAATTGTCTCTAAATAAATTATTGCCTAAATAACAGAAGTTCATGATAATAATTGTATTATAATAACATAATATTGTATTATAATAACATAATACATAACATAATACAAAATAAGTGATTGTAGTCATTTATTTATTTTTTTTGTATTATATATTTTTTTTGTATTTTGTATTATAATACAAAATTGTATTTTGTTTTTTGTATTATATATTATACATTGTATTATATATTTTTTTGTATTTTGTATTATAATAACATAATATTGTATTATAATAACATAATACATAACATAATACAAAATAAGTGATTGTAGTCATTTATTTATTGTTTTTGAAATAAAAGCATATTAAACTGATTCAAAAGGAGAAAAACATGTTTCATTAATTGAAGAACATGCTAAATGGAAGTTCATTTTGCATGGCTTTTGTTTCTCAACAAAAAGCGTCAGTGATGAGCTAGCATATTTTAGTATGATATTTAGAAGCTGAAATAGGGTGGTATGAAATGGCTTTTGTGAATTATTTATTAAAATCCTTCAAGAATAATCCTGGTAATAAGAATTTGAACATACTGCAAGATTCTGTTACTGAAAGCTTGGATTGGAAGAAGGACGAGTAGTTGAGGAAAAGGAAAGAGGAGTTTCATAATTTGCTGGCAAATGAGGAGAATGGCAGACTTCTGTCCTAAAGTACTGTCATTCTCCCCATGAGCAGAAATAGAGTTTTTAAAAGGAGGGTTTTCAGGTTCACGGTATTATACAGTTATTGGTTTGGACAGATCTCAGTTAAATAGAACAAAAGACAGTCTCCTGCCCCACTGGACTACTGACCTGAGGCAGGGATATAGATTTTAGCTCTTGAAAAGGGTGAGGGTGGTTTAAAGAAAACATTTTTATCCTTTATCAGACCTTTTCCTCTGTTCCAGATCTACTTCAAGTGAAACAAGTATGGTCAATTTTGTGTAGCATGGATGTGGGTAACAGAGGGGAAGAGTTGGAGATGAATATGGATAGGGACAACAAAGGGAGAATGTTGTACTACCTTGTGTTTGTAAATGATATTCTCTAGCCATGGTTGTGCCTTTGCTGCATACTGTGGTTAGAATTAAAGTGAACAGGTTTTTTTTTTTTTTTAAGAAATTTATTATGGGGAATGATGGTGATAGAATTGGGCGAAGCAGTTATAAAATCATTCATAAAAAATCATTATTTTGAGGAAAAAATTTCCATTGGAATACTTAACCTTATTCATGAAAGCCATCAAGCCAGGGAGGAGTGAAATAAGAATCTTGACTTTTATTATTGATAGGAGATGTAACATTTTAACATTGTTTATTTTTGCTTAGGAAGTTAGGCTGCTTAGTGAATGTAGGCTATGAAGGATCTTTACTTTCAAGATCAACTTTTAACCAATTTTACTTTTATTTACTCCTGATTATTTCTAGGTTATATCACACCATCTTTGGTTTTTTCTCCTTATTTTGTAACACTTGAAATTCATATTTTAAAATAAAGCTTAAAGAATGTTTTTCTTTTATTTGAAGAATTTATAGACAAGTTAATATTTTGAGAGATTTAAAAGTACCAAATGGCCAGTTCCAGAACTCTGAACTAAAATTTAGGATTAGCAATAAGAGAAATCCAACTGCGGAGAGACCTAAACTTTGTTTGAAATATTTCATTTTGGGGGGGAGGATTTGGTAAAATTACACTGTGGAGTTTTGCATTGAATTTTGAGTGTTTCTTTTCTTTTTTATTCAGAAATTTCTACACCAAGACCATCTTCTCCAAGTGGACTACCTGAGGAAGATAGTGTTTTATTTAACAAATTGACCTACTTAGGATGTATGAAGGTTTCTTCCCCACGTAATGAAGTGGAGGCTTTACGGGCAATGGCAACCATGAAATCTTCCAGTCAGTACCCCTTTCCTGTTACTCTGTATGTGCCAAATGTTCCAGAAGGTTCTGTGAGGTGAGCTCTAATTTTTTTCTTTAGATACATTTTAAGTCTTTTGGGTGGTGGTGAGGATGTTATATTATAAATCAGATGTGGAGCTTACTGTGTTGACTTATAGTAGACATGCAAAGTAGATGTAATTCATTCATTTGAAAGGGGCATTTGCATAATTATTCCTAGCATATTATAAATGAAATAAAACTATAAAAATACTTGTAATTTGTGTTTCTCTATTGTGATGGAACAAAAAATCCTGCCTTCAGTTTGTCATGTAATAGTGGTTCAAAAAAACTAGAATGATTCTTAGATTTTAAGGTATTTACAATCAAACTGGAAAGCAAAATGGCTTTTTCCTTTCATGCTTAATATGGAATAGCATATCTTATTATCTTAACCTTGAATTTCTTTAAATATAAACTAGATAATATCATTCTTCTATACTTAGCTTTCCAGTGGCCTCTAACACATTTGTGGTTATATTAAAAATCTTTATCATGCCTGGCCACTGATGACCAACTGCTTTCACTTGGTCTTTTTCTCCTCTTCCTCCTTCCTCCCCTCCTGTATTAGCCTGTTTGGGCTGCTATAATAAACTGTCATAGACTGAGTGGTTTATAAACAATAGAAGTTTATTTCTCAGAGTTATGGTGACTGAGAATTCCTAGATCAAAGTTCCAACATTTCTGGTGTCTGATGATGGTCAGTTTCCTAACTCACATGTTTTTACATGGTGGAAGGGTGTGAAAGCACTGTTTCTCATCCCTTTTATAAGGGCACTAATCCCATTTATGAGGACTCCTCTTTCTTTCTCTGTCATCCTTTCCTCCCTCTTTCCTTTCCCTTTCTCTGTCATCAGAAGAAGATGAATTTGTGTGTATAAGATTTGCAAGAATATGAAGTTAATTTATTTTCTTGCAGCATTAGACCAATACCCTTCCTGGTCTCTCTCTTCATTTACTACATTCTAGTCACATTGGCCTCTTTGTTTTTTCCCAAAAGGCTTATCAGTCAGGATTCCTGCCTCCAAGCCTTTGCATATTCTCTTTCCTCTGTGTATATTATTGTTCCCTGGTTTTCTGATGTCTTTGTCATTTCTCTCTAGTTTTACCTCAAGAAACAATTTGTCATAAGAAGCCTTCCTTGATCATATCTTGTAGCTATCACTGTCTTTCCTTATACAGGGCCTTTTTTTCTTCATACCATTTTTTTTTACTTCACATTATGTTATTTTACTTATTAGCTATGATTTAATAAAAAAAGAAAAACTGTGTACATTAATGCCATCATGGGGTACAATGTGCTAGTTTTATATACAATTTGAAGTATTTTCATCGAACTGGTTAACATAACCTTCAAGGCATTTTCTTAGTTATTGTTTTAAGACATTTATATTCTACATTTAGTAAGTTTCACATGTACCCTTGTAAGAAGCACTGTAGGTCTGGTCCCACCAATTACCCTTCCTTCACCTATCCTCTCCTCTCCCCTCCCTTTTCCCTTTCCCCATATTCTTGGGGAAAGTTTCATAGTAGGGCTGAGTACATTGGATACTTTTTCTTCCATTCTTGAGATACTTTGCTAAGAAGAATCTATGTTCTAGCTCCATCCATGTAAGCATGAATGAGGTAAAGTCTCCATCTTTCTCTAAGACTGCATAATATTCCATGGTGTACATATACCACAATTTATTGATCCATTCGTGGGTTGATGGGCATTTGGGCTTCTTCCATGACTTAGCAATTATGAATTGGATTGTAATAAACATTCTGGTACAAATATCTTTGTTATAGTGTGGTTTTTGGTCTTCTGGACATTTGAGACAGTCTCAGGCTGACCCCCTGGGTAAGGTGCCTTGGCATCATAGCTCACAGCAGCCTCCAACTCTTGGGCTCAAGTGATCCTCTTGCCTCAGTTTTTTTTTTTTTTTTTGAGACAGTTTCACTGTGTCATACTTGGTAGCCATGGTGTCACATCTTACAGCAACCTCAAACTCTTGGGCTCAAGTGATTCTCTTGCTTCAGTCTCCCAAGTAGCTGGGATTATAGGCGCCTGCTACAACGTCTGGCTACTTTTTTTGTTTAGCAGGCCCTGGCCGGGTTCAAACCCACCAGCCCCGGAGGATGTGGCTAGCACCCTAACTGCTAAGCTATGGGTGCTGAGCCACATTATGTTATCTTTACATTTATTTGCTTATTGTTTATTTTCATCACTAGATAAACTTCATGGAAACAGATTCTTTGTATTTTTCCTGCTGTAGCTTTGGTGCCTAGGGAATAACTGGTTCACTATAAGATTCTGCTAAATATTTGCTGAGTAAACAAATAAAGTGGATCAGGTCAAGGAATTTAGGCTGAATCAGTTCTGAACTTGTAATATTCCCTGAAAGTCGTTATAAGATTTTTTTCAAACCCTTCCTGGTTTGCCTTATGCTCTAAAGTTTATAATGTGGGAACATTTTAACTAAGCTGTAAATTCCAAAATAATAGCAGTATAAATTTACTAAGTTTTAGTTTAAAAACTTTCAGTTTTTCAGGAAGGGATTTCATAAATACATTGTTTTTATATGTTGCCTCCTAAAAATGTCAAAATATCATCTAATGTTATCTAGTTAGTTTCCATTTGCCAAATACACCTTGACAAAGACTTAAGTGTTTTGACTTTCATCTTTATTCCTGGTGTTTGTCCTCCTACCCCTCAGTTGCGCGGTTTGAGATCTTGAATGTTTGAATCATTTCAGGGCTTTGGATTCCCCAGAGGTGGGGAAGCAAGGTGTACGGAGAGTCAGAGAATTACTTGCTTCTAAATCCCACGAACTCCTTTCAGCTCTTTGATTTTGTTGTTGAATACATCTGACTTTTTGGGGGTAAAAGAAACCTCAGGTGAACAATGACTTGAGCTTAGATAAACTTAGAGATGCTGATCTGAATAGACGAGGACTCTCCAGGGAAGGTTTGTTCTATTCTGTGCTATTCCATGCTGGCATTCTTTTGCTATAACAGCAGTTATTCCACTGTAATAGACTTTAGGGATGGATGGTAGAGATTTTACCAGAAAATGTATACTTTGCTTTGGAGTATATGAGTTGGATCATGAAAAACATGAGGATGAAAAAATTGTTACAAGGAGATGAAGCATTTATGTGTATATATTGTTTAAAATTTTCAAGAATATGAAGATAATTTGTTTTCTTGCATTATTAGTATCAGTTATTTTTGTGATTTAACTTAGTTATGTTTATATGTTATATGTTGATCTAGTAAAACTATTCATCTTTGTTACTTGGTAGTTAATATTTTTTCTAATTTTTCATCACTGTTCTGCAGAATCATAGACCAGTCCAGCAATGTGGAGATAGCATCTTTTCCAATCTATAAGGTGTTATTCTGTGCACGTGGACATGATGGGACAACAGAGAGCAATTGCTTTGCATTTACAGAGAGTTCCCATGGTTCAGAAGAATTCCAGATACATGTTTTTTCCTGTGAAATTAAAGAGGCAGTAAGTATGATATAATATACTAATTTGCTACAGAAGTGAATTAGGGTAGTACTTTTGAGCACTTACCGCACTGTCATGTAAATATATCACATACATTTGGGGTATATTTCTGAAGACAGAATTAATATTTTTAATGGCATAAAGCTGAATATGGAAAGCTAAGTCTGAAATGTTTGTGTACTAAAATGATATAATAGATAGATTAGCAAGTGTCACAGAAAAATACCACTGAATGAACTGTTCCTCCCTACCGTAGTCGTAAATTGCTTATGCTCAGAAAGCAGGAATATTTTTGCATATCCATTGTTATTTTACCTTAGTAGATTGGTCCATTTGATTTGAGAAAAGGACTATAAAAATACTTCTTTCTTTGATGGCATTGACACTTGGATATTGTTTTCAGTTAGATATTGCACTAAGAATGTTTCTTAGAGCTGTATGATTTTCACTGGTAATTTTTCATGTGCATTCATTCAGAGGCTAGATTTTGTTCTGTATACCTAGCCTAATTAAAAATACAAATGCTTACATACTGCAGGGGTATCAACTTGTAGTATTTGAAGATTCTGGTGAGTTTTTCTTAGCAATTATTAACTAGTTATTTTTAGACAGTAGAAATAGTTCCGAATCAAGTGGATCTTAGACACATAGGGACATACCTTTCTTTTCTGTTTCTAATGAATTCTCCCCAAATTAACAATAGGTTGTACTATTAGAACTTTAAGTACTTACAGTCATTTCAAAGGCATTAATAAATGGGTTTGGATGGTAAGGTCTCAGGTATGTTTGCTTTTGGAATTATAAATTACCAGCAGAAAATGCTAAAAGCAGCACTTATTCTAGTCAATTTACCATGAAAAACAAATACGCCGTTGTATTAACAGGAGTCTTGAGAGTTTATTTCTGGTCACAAAATGGGAATTTATAGAAATATAGATTTCTGTGAGTTTGATATTAAACATGATGAGTATGTCAGTTCTTATACCCTGCTGATTAATTTGTTTTATACTAAAATGAACCTGCACAGACACACATAATTTAGATTGTAACTTTAGAAATTCTCTGCCAGAACCCATGCCTTGTGTAAGAGTGCAAATTTTGTGTTTTGTTGTTTTTGTTTTTAGGGCCTAATGTATGTCACCACTCATATATGTATGTGTATGTTGACTTCCTGCTCAAAAAGATGTGATAGATAGTGAGTGAGTGAGTACAAATGCACTACTATTGTTCCTGGCACATTGCAGGCAATGAATATAAAATTGTTGAAAGGATGTGTGTGTGTTTGTGAATGAGGGGAGCTATTTGTGATTCTTACAAACTCTACTACAGAGGTGGGGAAGCATATGGTAGAGTCCTGGCATTTCATGTTGGCAGCTGTCAATTAATGAACCTGTGTGGTTTCTGGATCACTGGAGCTAAACAGCAAGGGAGTGAGCTTTGAAGAACTGCAGAATCCTCGGCTTGGAGAGATAGAAACACTGCTGCAGAAGGAAATTGAAAGGGACCTTGCTGCAAGCAGCTTCCGTAACTGTGACGGTATGCAACACTTTTTTTTTTTGGATTATAGCATCACTTGTTAATGAGTGGGGAAGATGTTACATTTAGAGCTTTAATAAGGAAAAACCTATGGGAAATTCTTGGCCTTTCTATTTTGGATACAGCATTGAATACTATTACTTGTATTTCTAGGGAGCATATTTGTTACATTGCACTTTGTGAGGAAGTGATTTCCATGTATTATTTAACTTTTTTTAGAATAGATTTTCAAAGTGTTATACTGCGGGACAGTGTGATAAAATACATTGTTTGAAGGTAAAATATATGACAGTGATGATTAAATTTTATTATGAGACATCATTTCTAAGTGAAGAATAACTCAGTATAAATAGATTGCTTATGCCAGGGACTATGCTAATCATTTACTTAATACTTGTGACATCCCATGACCAGATAGTATTTATTTAGACAAGTGATCTTATGTTTTTCTTTGTCTGAGCAGTCCTGTTTTATGTTTGTTGTCCAGTTATTACCAGTGCCCTCTTTTTTATTCTCCAAAGTGTTGTGATTTAGATACTTGCATATGGTTATTCTTTTTTTTTTTTTATCCTAAGGCTAAGAGAATGGATGGTAGAGCTGAGTTTCAAATTAGGATCTCTAACTCTGAATAGCCATATTGTTTTCAGTAACAACTTTTCTGTTGCTTAAATATTATAAAAAAATGTGGATTTTTATTTTTTGATTATGTTTTATCAATCACATAGCTTTCATTCCAGCTACCTTTGTGTTTTACCAGACCCTTTTATAGGAGATGTCCAACATCTTCATCTCCACTGCAAAATTACATTTTAATTAACCTGAAGCCTTTTAGTTACATTTACTGGTTGTCTGGTTATATGGTTCCTAGAAGTTGCCTGTTCTGTAGTGAAGGAGCAACATTAGTTTTTAGTGTTAGTTAGTGGGCACAAACAGTTGGCACAGATATCTCATGAACCAAGTGACATTCTTATCTCTTAAGTATGTACTATGCAGCAAGGCCACTCATTTATTTGTTTCCATCTTTTTTTTTTTTTTTTCTTTGCAGAGTCTCTGGATGAGATCTGAAGGAAGTTTGCCAGTTAAAGGCAAGATGTCTTCTCAAGCAAGAGTAGCAGCATGACTTCCACTACCACCCATTGCTGTGATGCTCTAATGTTGCTGAAAACCTCTCTAGCAACAGGGACCACCAATGGTAGAAGAGAAACGCAACGAGGGTGATGTCTCTTTTGGATGCTTGGGACACAAGGATTAGGGGTTTCCACAGAAGGGTTAGGAAACATTTGACTTGTTACATTGGATCTTCTTCTGCAGGACAATGCTGAAGTGGATCTTCATAATTTATGGCAAAAGAGTTGGGCAATCTAGCCAGAAGTATCTTGATGTCAATGATTTTTGTACACAGAGAATGATGTGTAGGTTTCTGCTGAAGAATTGCAGACAAAGGGGAAAGCATAGTGAAAAAAGCCCAAGAGGCACCTATTCTGTTGCATCCTCATGGATATATATTATACTAAAATTTTTAAAAATATGTTTAATCCTAGTTGACTTTCTTTAAGATTTTATTCATACTAGGCAGTGTGACCATTTTCTTCAAAGCAAATTTTGATGATGTTATTTGTATGTTTTAGCCTACATATCAGTACTAGTAACTCTCAGTTTTTATTATCTGGCATTATGGGCATTCAGGGATATTTCATGATAGATATCAAAGCTATCATTGGGAAGATCTTTATTCTTTTTATTTTTCTTTTGAGAAAGAATCTCACTTTGTTACCCTTGGTAGAGTGCTGTGGTGTCACAGCTCACAGCAACCTCAAACTCTTGGGCTTAAGCAATTCTCTCAGCTTCCAGTAGCTGGGACTATGGGCGCCCACCACAACACCTGGCTATTTTTTAGAGACAGGGTCTTTCTCTGGCTCAGGCTGGTCTTGAACTCCTGAGGTCAAGCAATCTGCCCACCTCTCGGAAGCACAGTGTGAGCCACTGTGCCACACCTAAGAGCTTTCTTGTTTTTTTTTTTGGAGACAGAGTCTCACTATGTTTTCCTTAGTAGAGTGCTATGGCATCACAGCTCACAGCAACCTCAAACTCCTGGGCTTAAACGATTTTCTTCCCTCAGCCTCTCAAGTAGCTGGGGCTCCAGGTGCCTGCCACAATGCATGGCTAATTTTTTGTTGTTATTGCAGTTGTCAGCCTGGGTTAGGTTTGAACCTGCCAGCCTTGGTATATGTGACTGGCACCCTATTCACTGAGCCATGGGCCCTGCCAAGAGCTTTATTCTTAATGCACTAGTTTTTCTTGGGATTGTTGATATGCCACTATGCAAAAGAAAACCTTATTCCTTGCATGGAAGAATATTAATTAATTAAGTAAGTAATTAATTTTGTTGATAGCTCTGATTTGAGGAAGAGAGATTTTATTTTTCAACAGATATTTAGTGAGCTGGTATTTTAGGTAAATGCTTTATTTTGGAAGATTGTTCAGAAGTTATTTTGCTATGCTTTTCCTTATATAAATTGATTTTTATAATTTTTTTTTTTTTGAGACAGCATCTCAAGCTGTCCCCCTGGGTAGAGTGCCATGGTGTCACAGCTCACAGCAACCTCAAACTCTTGGGCTTAAGTGATTCTCTTGCCTCAGCCTCCCAAGTAGCTGAGAC